ATTCTAAATGAATAAATAAAATGAAAGCTTCTAATTTGTATCTTTTCTATCTACTGTTTATTTTAATGGGGTATGTACTCAATTTACATTAAGTATTTATTATTTCCTTATTCTCAGTTATTACCCCCACAACGGACAGTAATATAAAAACAAATTGTTTATACACCTCTAATAAATTAAAGCTCAAGTAAGCATAGGTAAAGTCCAATGGTGACAGATTTTTAATTTATAATTGCAACCTTGTCAAATGCGCCTCGGTTAAAACTGATGAATAGAGACATAACAATTGTTAGATACAGTTTATATTTATTTATGTTTTACTTGTTCTTATTGATAAAATCAAATCATTATCAAGGATATAAATAACAAATCAATCAAGGGTTTATAACTTAATATAAATTTTAAATTTGTTGTATAATTCCTAGAGAGAAATGGAGTTTTGTTTGATTGATGTAAGTGTCCCTGCCTACATACATATAATATTATATCATACATAATATAATATTCTCTTTTCTGTGTTTATTAATTTATACTTATATACTTATACCCTTTATTGTTATATAAAATTTAAATATCTAAATAATAAAAGTTGTGCTTTTAAATCTAAACTGTTTCAAGCATCGTACAATGAAATGGCACTGTAAGAGTCATCTACAGTGCGATAGTTCAAATACAAACAACAATTAGTTTGTTTAAACATTTTTGGTACCAGTGTACAGTACTTTTAAAGCGACTTCAACGAGCAGTTAGGCGAGTAACCTACACTTGCAGTGCAGACAGATACTTTCTAAAATTACAGGCAGTTTTAAAATCACAATAATAAAAGATACGTAACTTCTAAATGTTGCCAACAGAAGTAGATGGGATCAATATTTGAACAATAAATATAAAAACGGATAATTATTCAGAATTGGGGCTCCAGACCAAAATCGCTCCTTCATTGATTTCCGGTCATTCTACATAATAGAAGTAGACATTAGAAGGCATGGGATTTGATTTCATAAATAGAATAGCTACAAATACACCATATGCCCTATGCTGTAATAAAAACAAATGTGTCTTCCCCGCCTCAAATATAATAATTTAACCCTCAGAAATGACCAGAAATTGATGAAAAAATTTTTAAAGTAATTTTGGTCTGGATTGTATGAAATTTCGATATTGTACTAGGAAATGTATAAAATTAATGCCTTCTGTGAATAAAATACTGTAACATATAAGCCCGCGTCCGAAAAAATTTTTGAAGCAATTTTGGTCTGGTGTCCCAATTCTAGACAATTACCATAAAACGTTAACTGTAAATAAAAGCTGCGCTTTTTACATAAAACAATGCAGCTCCATTTGATACTGTCATTTTACTTTACATTGGGGGGCAAGATGGTAAATAAGGAATTCAAACACTTTGTAAAGTTTTAGTCCTTTACTAAAAGAAAAAAAATTCTTGGGTTTTTTTTGTTTTATCGACCACTTTTTCATTAAAGTTCTTAACTCATCATTGGAAGACGATCGAGGTGACTTTCTATAAATAATGGTACTTCTTAATCAGATTTATGAATTCGTCTAAAGAATCGCTCCACAGCGCGCGTATACGGCAGAGCGATCAAAATTTTTAAAGCTTTGTCAATTTCGGAAAAGAGCAAAGGAAGGTTTCGCGTCTTTTAACACACCAACAGCAGAAAGCACAATTACATTAGGCTCCTCTCGCTACAATTGTTTCCCAATTTCAATTTCATTTTTATGTACCCACGGTAAATCGGAAAATTGAGCGACGAAATTTAATACGCATCTCCTTGTGCAGAACCAGCCTTTTCACACAATTACCCCCGAAACTACGTTGAAAAATAAAATGGAAACTAAAATATTTTTAATATTTTCAAGGCTGCATAAATTTTGACCATTTCATTTTGTAATTTCTGATTTGATTTTGAACTCTTTCAGTTTTATTTTCTTTCTTCCCTTATCCATTGCTGCTAAATGATGCAAAATTGTATCACCCATCCATCACGGCACGGCCATGTTTTTCAGGCTCCTCTCATTTGATAGATTCCAATACCCTCAACAATTGTTTCACTAGTTTTCGACTTCTACAGGATAAAGTAGCAGGTTTTCTTAATTTTATTTGCCATAAACTTCCTCAAACATGAAAAATTTTATATTCATTTCCATGTTCCTAACATTATTTTTCGTGAATTAGGTATTTAGTACATATTATCCATTAAAAGCTAGATTTATTTTTCGAGGAGGCTACTGAGACATCTCCTCTGTTTTTTATAATTTATCCTTTGAAATAATTTTATATAAATGAGTGTAGCTCAATTCGAATTGCATAGAAGACTATCATTCAATTTGTAAAACGTTCAAAAATTACATGTAAATATTTCAAAATTACACGAAAAAAGTAAAAGTACAATATGTGATGTCTGCAACTATCTGGTGGTAAATAGAGTACAAGTAAATTTTGGTTTTCGATCACGCTTAACACATTGAAATTATGCGAATGTTCCTCAAAGCTGAGCTTTTATTTTTCATTTGCATTACAAATTTATGCAAATTATTTCCTCGCTTCACTGGCAATGTCATTTCTATTGAATAAACACTATTTTAAATTCCGCGACCTAATTTTCTTTCACTCGAGATACCATGTTATATTTTTATTAGCTATAATCAGCAAACACACTTTATCGGAATCAAGGTAAGGGTGCCGTCAAACAAAAGCTACTTTTATATTTCGTAGTCGATCTGGATTCTAAGTTGTCCATTCGTCCACAAACAAGGAAAAAATCGCAATCACACTTAAACTTCAGCATATGGGTAATATTCATTATCATCATTATAACGTCTTCAGTCCGAAGACGTTAACTCCTTTTTTGCTTTTATTATGTCTCTAACTAGTCCATCATGGCTGAGAAGATGTCCAACAAACATCATCATCATAAAGTCGTCAGTCCTAAGACTGGTTGGATACGCATCTTTTCATTTCTAACCTTCGCGATCCACGATCATCATCATTCGCCTGTTACACCACATTTCGAACGCTTCTAACCTTTTATTTTCCACCGCGTTCACTGTCCAAGTTTCGCACCCGTACAGCGCCGTGCTCCAAACATATACCTTTAACAACCTTTCCCGAATTTCTAAATTAACATATCCTTATTGAATTTCATAACGCCCTATGTTCCCTTACTCTTTTTAATTCCACCTCATATCTATCCTTTTCCATTCCGAGCATCTTCCTATAAACACCACAATACAAAAGTCAACCTTTTTTTTGTTAAAAATAAACCAGACCTGCGCTATTCAGTGTTTTATATCTCTAGCGCATTTTCCATCTGGTGTTACCTAAATCCCTAAGTATCGAATATTAACGACTTCTTTCAATTTTTCGTACCTACCCTATTTTTTTCATTAGTTTTAACCCTATTTTTACATTCGTTAGAAACGAATATTTTTGTTTTATTTTTATTAACTTTGATATCGTACCCTTTTACCAAACATTAACATTCATTATATCCAATTTCCAATAACGTCCGAGCATTTCTACATATATCAATGTTAATGTCAAATGTTTGTAAAAAAAACTTATTTCTAAAATGTATGTAAAAGTAAATTTATATCTTGCAGATGACAAATTGTTAAATGCGGACAATTATTAAGTATAAAATATGAAATTTTTTTGGTTGGCTAAAACAGTGAAATCAATTACTTCCAATCAGTCGTACCTATACATAATAACTATAGCACCATATGGGTAGACGTAATGAAGATATTTATCTTATGTTAAAAAAGAATTTCTTCTTAACGTCTGTTAAAACTTAACGAGAGAGAAGGGATTCACCGAAGATGGTATAAACGATTGACAAGATGTTCGAAGGCTAGTTAGCGAAAGTTCTTGTGTTGTGTTTACCGTGACCGTGAATGTTGAACTTGAGGATGTATACGGTTATTCTTCAGGTACGAAATAATTTTCATTACTTTTACTAGAGTAGACGGTGAAAGATATAGCACGAAGACTAGCTTCAGTTTAAATAATTTTATTCGCATACAATTTTCACTAGTTAAAACCACATTAATTTTTAGAAGATACAATTGGCTTCTCTTTTTGTCTGTGGTACATTAATTTGCTTTTTATACAACAAGTTATATCAAACAACAGGTAGATTTTTCCTTTTAAACTTGATTAAGTTACAATTATAGAAACTTATTCCTCATGGATGAAACTAGTTCTTTTTTTAATAAACTGGATTCTTCTGGGATAAGCTCATTTTCCCTAGAATAAACAAATTCCTGAAGTTAAAAATTAGCTTTTCCTAGATACAACTGATTTATCGACTGCTATCTTCCGTAACAAACAAAGTCCTTCCAACTGGGTATTGGGTACAACTACTTCTTCCATTCAACAACTATCTTGTCCCACCCTGAATTAAATATTTGTTCCTAGAATAATCTATTTTCTCTTATTAGAAACTAGCAATTCCCGCGTAAATTTCTATGAACAATAACAAAGGGGTTTTTGGACCTTATTCAATTAAAACTTTTAGTTTCATTCAAGTAGCAGGATTATGTTACAGCAAAAGGCATAAAACACCCTTATTTTTCTTAGCATAACCAAGTTTTTTCCTGTTCGCTAGAAAGAACTAGTTTTCCTAGTAAATAGACCAGCTCTTCTTGATTATATCTAATAGGGTTTTTGAACATTGACTACAAACTTTCTACATATAACAAAACGTTCAAGTGGCCTAACTCAATGCCTTCTTAAGACAAACATTGTCCTAAATTTATTTTTTTTGTTTCAGTAAAACTTAAGTTAAATAAAAAACTTTTAAATTACTTTTTATATATTGCCTATGTAAGAACAGTCGTTTTATTTCTAGAAAACTCGTGTCTTTCATTCTATATATTTTTTCCTTTTAATGTATCGGTTTACCACGAACAAAATCACAATGTTTTGAAATTTTCTGATATACGTATTGAAATTCATCCGACCAAATTTTCATTTATAGTGAAATGAAATAAAATTTGTATTAAAATGCTTTTCTAATGCAGCTACAATTGAGACAGATAATCTTGTTTTTAAAGAGGGTCATTTAAAAAAGTCACCATTTTTGGTACTAAATGTGAAGGTTTTGACATAAAGGCATTTTTTAGTAATTTGAAAAATTAGCTTATCAACTATATTTTTTATACGTAGTTTTATGATTTGCAATAACTTTATTGTACCTACGGCATCAAAATAAAGTAGTTATTAAATAAAACTATCTTAAATCGTTTAAATATTAAATTTATTCTGCACTAATAAGTCGGACTATCTTATAAGTCTTAAGCAGCTTCAACATTAAATGGAATTAAAAGCAACTAACTTATGTAGTCCAAACCATGACACAAAGAAATAAATCTAATGAACCATTTCTAGACTGATTATGAATAGCTTTTAAAGTTGCTATTTGTATTTTATTAGTATTTTATTAGCAGCTTTATGTATTTCAAAGCCAATTATTATTTCTTATTTACTGTCGGCGCAACGCAGTCGTGCTCTTTGCCTAATCGTTCTTACTTAAATGTGGAGCATGCACACAAAATCACCCATCAAACTGTCCAGTTGAATACTTTCATTACTAATTGCTCAATTTTGCATTTTCAGACCCACGTCATTCAATTCCTGCTCGCGTTATTGCCCGCTATGGTTAGTTCTACACTGCATTATGAACACAGTTATGCACCGGCTCACGAATATGTAAGTGATTTATTCTTGCCTCTCCAGTAATAGTTATTGGTGATTCAGACACAATTGGTTAAAGAAAAACTTCTCCAAAATATTCTGTGTATACACGGAGAAAATGGAAAAGGAAAATTTACCTAAATATTAAAGCGATATTTACAATTTATCCCACTATCCCGAATTTGTAAAAATAAAATCCCAGCAGAAATAAATTTACTGGGTATTTTAGTTGATATTACAAATTAAATTGCACTAATTAACAAACTTGAAATAATTTTTAAAAATACATGTCAAAATTGAAATTATTATAATTTACAAGTTACTTAATAAATTCTACTATTTCTACCGCAAATTCAGTCACAATCGAAAATTGTAATTTTTGCGTTATNGTTACATTACTACTCTACTTAGTTTATGTTTAAAATAAGAGGGTAAAAGTAAAAAATATATATAATTTTCCCTGAAATTGAAGCCAAGGCTGAGTTTAGGTCCAATGCCACTTATAGCTAATGCAGTTTTTGCTGCCGTGTTTATAGGAATGGAATGGGTTATACAAGGTAGGATCGAAAAGTAGTAGGACTGAAATAATTTGATTTTTTATTATTGAATTAATAGGTACAAATCTTTAGTAGTTCTTGAAATCGCACCATTTTGATTTGACACAATGCGTATAATGGTTTCCCATTGCGCGTACGCTTCTGGAACTTGCTATCCGGGAACCCCTTTTAGAGATGTTATCGCGGCCCCTTTGACGTCTTCTACGGAACTGTATCGGCTTCCCTTGGTGTCTTGCTTCAGCCAAGGATAGAGAAAGAAGTCCGGCGGTACCGAGCGGCATGGCCTAGAGGTCTAGACCATTGCTTAGCATTCGGGAGGACGCCGGTTCGATTCCGGTCCATCTGCCTTGGTCCAAGTTTTTCTGTGGTTTCCTTGGATCACTTAGGCAAATGCTGAGGCAGTAATATTCCACAGATAATCTTTCACTCTCTTCTGTCTTCATTTCGTCCGTCTCATCTTTCTCACCCGAACCACTACACTTTAAATTCGTCTTCAGCTCTTGGACCATTTCCATCTCCGTCGCGTCCGCAATAAAATATTTTAGTGTCGGTGCCTGAAGAAGGTAATTTTGTTATCGAAAAGTATTTCAAGCGGTTAGTGTCGTATTTTAGTATTGGGGGTTAAGATATCTACAGAGTTCCACAACACAGTCTAAGTTTTTCAATTGTTTAGATTCCTAGTTAAAACAAATTAACTTTTGTTTTCCTTATTCATTAATGTTTCATGAGACATACATACACCATGAGCTGTCATTCTAATTTTAAAAATTTTCGAGTTCTTATAAAAATAGTGTATTTGTTTTGATTGTACTGATATTGAAAAACGTTTTATTAAATGAGACTCATTTATGTGTTTTAAATCGTAATTGCTATTAGATATTAAATATTGCAATTTGTTTGTACAGAAGTAGATACATAGCAGGTATAATAACTTTAAATGAAATAAATCTTAATGCCTATTCGAGTATTTATAGACCTAATTATGTAAAATTACCTGTTGCTAATGGATACATATTATTCACGCCTGACTAGAAAATGATGTTAAAGTCGAATAAATTGCTTCAAACTTTGTATGTAATAAATACAAATATTGTTAGAATAAAATAGTTTTCCAAGTATAGATACATAATGTATCTATATACATAAAATCGATAAAATAGACGAAATCAAAGTTAATAAATATCAAAATTCTAAAGATGATGTGTATTCCACTGTTTGTGGTTTTTGTATATGAAAATTACCTTTTCCTGCAATACTTAAGTTTCTCTCAGAACATGCCATTGCTTTCTTATATCAAACTAATTGTCTCTACGATAAACAAAATATAAAATGAAAAATTATCAGCAAATAGACAGTAAGAAATTACCTAAAAGAAGAAGAAATTAGAGCTATTAAACCCGAACAAGTTTAAATAAAGAAAGGTATTCTAAAAAGGTGGATAAAGGAAAAAGAACAAAAGGAAATGGAATAAGGAAGATGTCAATAAATTTATATAAGTACTTAGGATACACATTGAAAAGCAATAATAGTGAAGTAAGTGATATGGCTACAGCAGCAATGATATGTAAGTATGTGGAACAGAAGAAAGAAAATTCATCGGCGATTTGAGTGAAGAGTATGATGATGTTTAATGTCCTAGTTTAAAATATCAAGGCAGCAGGTAGAATTGATCTGTGTTTAGTCGAAGCTTTCTACGAAGCTCTGATGAAGTCCAACAAGATACTGACCACCATGAACTTCTTTGTTTGATTTTGGTAACCTGTCTATCACATATGGTGAGATACGCCGTAGATTCAGTTGAGCGAGTAGATTATGTAAATGGAACATGACAAACATATACAATTCCACTAAATGTACTACAGATGGCGTTTATATTAGTGTATTCACTAGAAATATGAGACATCAAAAAAAGACCAGAAATAGAAAACATTCAAGATGAATACATTAGAGGGGTCGTAGGACTGTACGGATAAACACCAGGATGTTGAATAAAGGAAGAAACCAAAATTGAAGAGATAATGATAAAAGTAGGAACAAGATTTTCAAAATACGAAGAAATAGACAGAAACTCAGAGAACAAAATGTTAAGAAAATGGACAAGAGAAGAAAGGAAAAGTGAAACACAAACCATTGAGAGAGAGCGGAATAGAAGAAATAGAATCCAGGATATAAAAAGGAAAAATATAATCGAATACTGGAAGAAAGGAAAAGAAAACGAAGATAAAATGAAAAGTCATGAAAAACTACAAAAATTTACTTACACTCCAGAATATGTAAAATGGTTGAATAAATAATATGCTGAATCAGCTACAGTTGAGAGAGAAAGAGAGAGAACGGACATAACAAAAATTGTCGCAAGATTCAGATTGGACAACGAATGAAAAGCTAATAAGTACCAGATGAACAACGAGTAAAACAGATGCAGAATGTGGTGAAATGTTCCTAATCGTAGGGTAGATAGAAGAATGGAAAACCTAATGAATGTAGACACAGCGAGCACGGCATGGGTGAAAATGTCATACAGAAAAAAAAGGAAAGAAATCCAGAAGATGAATATATGGGAGGTGAAGAAAAGGAAACAAATAGTGTGTATTGTGTATACATCTATACAAGGGAATCATTATTTCAAATAAAAGAAAAAAAGGTAAAGATCTAGATGATGGCCCCCACCACCTTTGGGGGTGGGGTGGGGGGAATCGAAAGAGGAGGTCTCCTCCACCACTGTACCAAAAAAAGTTCGTGGCGGTCTCACCCCCATAAAAATATGTAAATTTACTGGG